TTTTTTTTTTACAGATGATTAATTTATTCTGAGATAATACATAAATTCTGGAAATAGAGGAAAATCGTCTACATTAACATCTCTGAGAAAGCATGTACCTTGATATAGAAAAAGATTTCAGAGCTAAATAAACATAAAAAAATTAAGGATGAAAAACACCTACATTCAAAACTAAAATCTTAATGAGTAAATTGAACTAAAAATAATAACAAAATAAATACCTAAAAACTTCACAGATGTTCTAGGAGAAGGCTTGAGAGAGTTCTTGGTGCTGCCGGTGATATGGAATGGTAGAGAACAACAGGACAGTTAGTGTAAACGGAAGTATCTTATAACATAGTAGAAAGGAGACCTGGGTAAAGAGGAAAAGAGGGAAAAGAGGAGGTACTGGAATTGAAATTGACCAAGTTATACCGTTATATTTTTTACATATACAAGTCCCACTATTGTGTATGATTATAACGTACCAATAAAAATTTCCATCAAAGACCAAAACCTCCCAAACTCCTGAAATTGAAGAATAAGATGGTAAGCTTAGACTATCAGATATCAGCATATTATGAGAGTTTGGGATTGTAGTGCTGTGATATTCATTCATGGAAAATTCTGTCTGGTGAAACAGAAAGGAAAACCCTGTCTATCCTAAACATAGATGGACATGACATTTGACACTCCAGTGGCATTTCGAGTCATTAAGAAAACAGTGAATCCATTCAGTGAATGATATTAGGACAATTGGTGATCTATATGAATAGAATGAAGCTGAATTTCTTCTTAATATCAAACCAAAAAGATAAATTCCAAGTGAATTAAAGTCTTAAATATAGAAAGAAAATAACATGTTTGGAGGAAAATATGGAAGGATAACTTTCAATCTTGAGGAAGAGAAGGGTTTTTTGAACAAAATAGAAGCCAAAAAAAATCATTAATATTAGAACTCTCTCTCTCTACACACACACACACACACACACACACACACACCCCACAAGCCCCAGCCTGGAAAGTTACTGAATATATAACCTTCAAAAATCTGGTAAATGAGGACTGGGGTTGTGGCTCAGTGATAGAGCACTTTCCTAGCACAGGTGAGGCTCTGGATTTGATCCCAGCACCACATCATTCATTCATTCATTCATTAAAGGTCAATTTTTTTAAAAAAATCTGATAACCAGCATATAAAAGTAACTCTTACAAACCAAAAAGAAAAACACAGGCAATAATGAAGATTTGACTAGACATTTCAGAGAAGAGAAAATATGATTAATCCAAAAATATTTTTAAAATATTCAACCTCAGTGTAATGTGAGAAGTGCAACTTCAGGCCACACTAGATTTTTAGACCACTTAAAATGAGAAAACACTGGGAAATATCATTGTACCAAGTATTGGGTTAGGGTTAGGGTTAGGGTTAGGGTTAGGGTTAGGTCAAAGGAAACTCTCAATCACAGCTGGAAGAAAAGAGGAAGTGGCTAAAGTCTCTTTGGTAAGTGATTTGGCACAATCTTATAGAGTTGAACTTTCTACTCCCATGTGTATGCCCAGACTCTTTCACAGCTGCCTAATAAGACATGTACAAGAATGTTCATAGAAACATTTCTAACCATAGCAGAAAAAGTAGAAACCACCTCATCCTTATCAGCCCGAGAACAAATAAGCAAACTGGCATTTTTGCATAATGGGATACTAAGAGTAGACACAAGGAATAAATTGTAATTAAACAAGACAAAACATGGATGGATAGAAACCATATGGAAATGAAAAATGACACTATTTATAGATTTTTAATACAAGAAGCAGTAAATAACTCCATTTACAGGTATGTATATGTGCATTTTTTAAAATAACTTTTTAAAAACATGGAAATAATGAAGGTATAATCCATATTAGTGGTTGCCTCTGACATGTAGTTACCTCTGGAAGGAGGTAGATGGGATCGAGAAGCTCATAGGAGATATAACAATAGTTTCTTAAATTAAGTGATGGATTCAGAGGCAGATTTTACTGCACAGTATGAACACAACTTCATCATTTGTATGTATATCCCACTATGAGGAATGTGTCAAATAGTCATAATAAAATATTTTTTGGAGAGTATAGGGAGAAAAGCATTATTTCATTTTTCACTGCACAAAATAATCACTGAATAAACATAAAACATGAGAGCTCCTTTAAATCCTTTATCCTTTAATCCTGAAAAATAAAATTATTTTCTCACTGTTACAAATGATAAGCTAGTTATAATAGGGAGACCAGACCTAACATTCCAAAATACATTTCTACACACTATATTTGTTTCCTTGCTCATTGCAGAATAATGAAGTACTACCTACTTACTGGCTTCAAATTTCCCTTCATCAGGACTAATTAAGTGGACCTGAGTCACCAGCTTTCAGGATATTTCTTTAAGTAGATTATGTTCCTATTAAAACAATTAAAATAAGAAAACATGAAGTACTATAGCACAAAATATATTAGAAATAAAATTTAATGTTCCAGAATTTTAATGATAATGAATATCTAATATCTAATTTTTAAAAATTGCATAGTGATTGTTATCTGAAGAAGGAAAGGGGGTTAAATAGTACGGGTCTGTTGTAGAATCAATGCTGATTAAATTGACATGTTTTAGCTTTCAAAGATAACAGTTTTGATATGCAGAGGGTTGTTTGTGATTGTGTTCTGCTAAATGGGTTTGTGATGTCAAACAGCTGAGAAATGCTCAAGTAAGTAGTTTGTGGATGCCCCTTTGGGGAATGGTGAGTACTAATCTAGATCCTCAGATCATTTTGTGCTGGACGTGGACCTGCGTAGATGGTTCAGTACAGTATTGAAGACATGAGGATTTTGATAGAAACCATCTCCACTGCCATAGGTTACTCATGAGGACCCTGTGATCATGTGCAGTGGGTGCCCAGTGGTCCACAAGAAAGGAAATGTATTTGGCATCTGCTTTGGGGATGAGGACTGCATTCAAGCTCCCTGGGGTTCACAATCAGATATCAAAACCATACTGGTTGCTATGGTAACCATAGCAAGAAGAGGCAGACGTGTTTGTGGATGAAAAAAATTGTCTCCTTCTTTCTAAATGTGGGAGACAAGTTACATGTTTGTGATAGAAATCTATCACACCAGAACGAGAGCAAACTGAAGTCTAAACATTCAAAATACCATGAGGTTGAGAGTCAGACCTCATTTCCAGAGGCCAGCCTTGCGCCTGTGAATACAAGAGAGACAGATTTTGTGGACACCCTTTGTGTTCTTTTGTGAGTTAGAGGACCAATTCAAACACAGCTGTTAGATTCAGCATTACAAACCTGCTTGGCAGAGAACTGCTATATTACTATCTGCACTTTCCACATCATCTAACAAGCAAAAATGGTAAATGGTTAAAAAAGACATTGCCAAATACTCTACTAACTCTGTTTAAGAATATATTGAGTTGTCTTCAGTAAGATCTCAGGCCAGATGAAATTGTGGTTCTGTCAGAACATCTTACAGCTAAGCCATAGATGAGTCTCCTTTTCATCTTCAATAACCATTTCTCATTGCAGGCCTATTATGCCATATTCCTCAACAAGGGGCGTCTGGAAGTGCATCTCTCCATGGGGACACGAACAATGAGGAAAATTGTTGTCAGACCAGAGCCAAGTCTGTTTCATGATGGGAGAGAACATTCTGTTCATGTGGAGAGAACTAGAGGGTAACTATAGCACTAGAATACTTACTGTGTCAACTTCCTTTCCAGCCTTGGTCTCTGCCTGAATTTCAGTGTGTATAGATATACTATCCATCATAAAATGAAAAAGTACCTTAATTTCCTTTTCTTACACTTTGTATTTCAGGAACCTCATTTAGCCAGGCCCTTAAGAATTCTGTTCTTAACAGCTTTATCCTCTACAGGTCTCTGTTCCACCTCTGGAATAACCAAATGAATCTTCTGAATCTAGAGATAAGAAAAATCCCTCCTTCTTCATCTCTCAATACTCTCTTCTCAAAAAAGGCATGCACATAGTAAAGCTCACGTAAAAGCTCAGCCAGAGCCAGCAACCGTTGGCAGCTCTGATTTCATTCAGGTTCCAAAGCAGTTATGGCAGCTGCTTAGAAACCTGTCACAGATATGGTAGCGTGGCGACAGCAGCTGCATGACCTACTGAGCCTCTTGTGTGCGTGTTTCATCCCTGTCTCCTCCCCAGGGGGTGCAGAGTTCCTGCAGTACCTTCATGAGGGATCAGAGTCAAGGTAGAGAAGGGGAATGGCCACTACCCCACAATCCTTCCAAGGAGACCTCCACTCCACAGATCCACAATAGCACCTGCTCCCCTTGCTCTGATCTAGGGAATTGGCTTTAACAGTACAAACTGATTTCCTGTTTCTTCCGTTGTTACCATATTTAATAATTTCTTTATTGGAAATTCATCAGTATTTTTCATGAAAATATTGTACAACTCAGAAAGTTAATTAGTTTTGAAGGACAGTTAGAGAAAAAGAAAACAGAAACCCAGAGACTGCAGGGGCCTCAGCCCTCCAAACAAGCAATCCATTTATTAGACTGAAGCATAGAAAAGAGCTAGAAATCAAATATAATGAAACCTCAAAACACAGAGAATACTTTTAAATGAAACACAAGTATGAATGTGTAGCAATAGTTCAAACAAGCAGTTGCTATTCTGTAGCTAAAGATCTATATTTTCTAATTATCCTCTTGTATAGATAACAGTTTAGATGAATAATAAGGATTTCTTATCATCTAAGTAAATAATAAAGCTTTCCTCAGCTCGCTTTGTTATTATTACATAGAGCATTAGGTTGTAGGCTGAATTGATGCTAAGCATTCCTGCAGCGTCTACTAACCAAGATGTTTAGAAACCATGATTAAGACAAATGAGCGATCAATAGTTGGACAAAATCAGAACTTTTACCAATTTAACAGCCAGATATTGTAGTTGTGGTTTCCAAAAAGAACAGCAGACTGGATTTTTGCGTTCAAACCTGAAGGAACACTTTAGATTATGATTTTACGTTTCTTCTTGACTAGATTTTTATGCCCTTTGCCAAAAATGAATACTTCTTACCGTGGGAAGAACTTTTTTTAAGAGTCTGTGAACTTGAAAGTATTTCAATTAAGAAATGCAAATTTGAGAAATATAGTTGATCCCAGATCACCCAAAATGTATTATTTTCTAGAGAAAGAATTTTGAAATCCCCAAATGCATTATGAGGTTGTACTAAGGTGTCCTTTTAACAGGTGTCTCTTCAAGAAGGGCATTTTATTACGCCAGCTTCACAGCTGTTGACTATCAATCCAGCCTTCATTTGATTAAGCTCAGTGGATAGTACATCCCTGAAAACTGGTCATTCTGCTAATTGGCCATATAAACAAACGGTCTTGCCATTCACTGTTAATTACAGGATAATGTTGAACATATTAGTGTGTAGTCAGTGAACTCTGTGCCAAAACAAGAACACATTTGCTTCCATAATGTCTTTTTCAGTGTTCTAAGGTCGAAACAGCATTACCCTCCACTTTATAAGAAGGTACTCCATAAAACTGATTAACCAGAGATCACTAATGTCCACCTGAACTTCACTCTGAAACATTTTAATGCTTCATATACCAATTCTATGATATTATTTGTCAAATATTACACAGACATTGCTTGTTAATTATTCTAAATGTACATGAGAAGTGTATTAATATTATTTCATCATGGATGAGAAAGAAGTAACTGAATTGCACAAAATCACATATCAGAAACACAGAGACAGGTTTTTAACCCAGACATATTTGTCTTAAATACTTCTATCCATGCTTGACAAACTATTTATTCTTATCCTTACTTGTGACCTTAAAGGTTTCTTTTACTTCAAGTTGATTATAATATACTTTAGGAATATTGCTTTCTCTCAACACTTTTCAGACCATAAATGTCAGTCACCATTTAGGTTTTCCTAAAACCCTGGATAAGATAGTGTTTTTAATAGCACCTCATAAAATCATTGGGTTTTGACCAAATTATAGGACAAACTTCCCAAGATCAAACTTCTGTCTCCCCCTCTGCCTCTTTTCACTCCTCTTTCCTCATTTGTTCTTCTTTTCTACCCCTTCCTCTGGAAAAAAAAATCTCATTTCAATCACTTTGTTATCTAATTTCTTGGTACTCCGGTGACCTCTGTTTTTTCTGAGTGCTCTAGCCTCTGACACTTCTCCCAGCATCTACCTCAGCAGTTCTAACTGGATGAGGGCCTGAAATGGCTGCATAGGCAACTAAGATAAGCAACTGAATTGGGTTTCTCCTCTGCGAAAATATTCTACATGTAGGTACCAAATGAGGCTAAAGACCATGAAGTTGGGTTTGATATTTCAGGCATAATTGGGGTTTCCAGAATGAGAGCATGATTTGGACACTACCACCCAAATATTTTCTTCCTTATCATTGAGATTCAATTTTGTTCATGTAAATTACAATGTCAAGATA